ACCCTTTTTGGCCCCGCCCCTCAGGCCCCTGGGGGCTTAGGACTAAACCGGCAACTATTTTTGTTGACCTTTGTCCATGGAAGGTCCCTGCAAAATTTCATTGAAATTGGTTCAGGGGTTTTGGAGAAGAAGTCGAAAATGTAAATTGTTTACGGACGCACGACGGACGACGACGGACAAAAGGCGATCGCAATAGGTCACTTGAGACTTTGTCTCAGGTGACCTAAAAAAAAAAAAAAAAGTAAATATACACTGGCCCTTGGAAAACCAATTACATCTAGAAACTCATTATACCTTATATTCATCAATCATTCAGACGCTATACACTTTTACTCATTTAAACATGAAATACAATAATACATTTATTTATTCATAACAAACTTTAATATTCAATATTTCGGAATGCTTGAGACAACAACCTGACTATCATTTAATTATTAGGTATACTTGAGCATGTTATGTCTGTTATATTGTAGACATTAGGTTATTTATTAAGTACTTGTACCAGTTACCTAGTATTAAGAAAACCACTTGTCAATGGCACAAGTTTTATAGCAACACGGAAGTCAGCACCATCGTCGTTCTTTATCTAAGTGTCATACCCTGTTAATATAAACCAGTAAATATAAGCCATTTTAATAGGTGAAAATTATTTAAACCAAACTGCTGACAAGGTTTTTCACCAGAACGAATTAAGTTTACATTTAGAAATTAACCCTGGCCTTTTTTATCTGAAATTTTTGTTTTTATTAAGATCAAATAGTTATTCACAATTTCCACAGTGAACTACAATACTTTCCTATATTTGAGGGGAGACACCATGAAATGTGAAACATGTATCCCTAAGGAGCCTCTCATTAAGTCTAACCGGTGTCAGTTGTGGTTTCACTATTAAGTTTGGGTTGGTGTCTGTTTATTTCCTTTTTCTAAATAACAAATTCAAATACTAACAAAAAAAGAAAAACAAGTACATAACTTGCTTTGACGTCAAAATCATAACTCTTAGTAAAAACATTGTAAGGATTTTAAGAAAGGCCTATTAGCCACATCATTAAATAAGAGCAGCAATCCTGTGGTACATATCGTGATATCTCATTTCAAATATAATTAAATGGATTGAATGTTCAATGATACGCCATGCTAATCCTCGAATCCGACTAGACTAGTTATCTGAATCTGATTAGCCATAGATATACAGGATGCATACACAATGACAGCAGGAAAAAGTCATAAATAAATTTATAAGGCCATAATTAAATGTATATATTCATATTTATTTCAGGTAGTCTGGCCTACCCTGGATGTTCCTGGCGACCCTAGAAATTTGATCACGTTCTTGTATCTAGAATTAATTTATTAGCGAGGTAATGCTCACAACCACTCATTAAATCGTACAAATTTCCTGTTCTGGGAGTCAGATTCTATCATTGACAAATTAATAGGCATTGTAGTTTATTGAACACATTGAAAAATTTGGTAATAAGTATGCTATTTATCCATAAAAATATAATAAAAATGGAACTAAATCATTTGCCCACCGACTTCCTTATTTTTTCAGTAATGTTACCCGAATCACATATTTTCTCGCCTTAGCAATTGATTGGATTAAATATTACCTATTCATATTCTTAAATATTTATGACAAAATTAACTGTACATCACTTGCGTGCTTCTAATTAACAAACGTCTTAAAACATTGTGTAATAATACTTATTTTAATCAGTTTGAATTAGCAATTTATTATCCTTACAATTTAACTGCAAAATATGTATTTATGGATCCTGGAGATGTTAATGAGTTAAAATGGGGAAAAAAAGAAATTGGGGGGAAAAATGACTGCAACTACATGTTGAAGATTAATGCGAAAACCTGAATAAGTAAAAAAATATATACTTTACTTAACAAGCAATATAAATGGTTTGATAATCTGATTTATGATGAACTTCAACATTTTATGTTATAATACTATTTTAAACCATTGTTACAAGCTTATCACATGTTGATTTAGAATGAACTTATTTTGAGACATTTTCGTGATACATCACTTTTGGCTTCCATGTTCTGTGGAATGAATACTTCTGTATCAAAATAAACCACTCGCTGTAACATTTAAGAAATTTGTAGAATAGTTTAAATCATGCTTAATGACAGAAAAAAAAGAAACAAAGTTACAATACAAAAAAAACCCATTGCCATGGAATACTTGGAGACATCGACAAACAGGCACTCTCGAGTAAAATAACGGCAGAAAATGCATCAACAAGTACTAGTAATCACCCTGGAGTAACATTTTGACGGAAATGGCATCAACAAATATGCACCCTGGAGTAACATTCTGATAGAAATTGCATCAACAAATAGGCCCCTGGAGTAACATTCTGATAGAAATAGCATCAACAAATAGGCCCCTGGAGTAACATTCTGATAGAAATAGCATCAACAAATAGGCACCTGGAGTAACATTCTGACAGAAATGGCATCAACGAATAGGCACCCTGGAGTAAATCACTATTAAGAATGTGTGCCTGACACATGTGTAACATCAAAATTTATTATAAGATTGGGAACATATCACAACCTGGATTCCACAGCGAACAAAGAATTGATCACTGCTTTCAAACATTCACTATTTACATGTACTAGGTTGGGATAAGTTCAAAGTACCCGTCCCTTTTCTAAAAATGAAAAATATTTCATTTACATGTAATCAAGAAAGTATACATAATCTTAAAACTTCACACGTTTTACTTCAGTATAATGCTGCATCTCATGTCCGAATTTTAACGTTTGTGAAGTGTTTAGGTGTTTATCCTTTCCATCTATCCAATCTATCCATCTATATTAGTCAAAACATTCAGAGTTATGGAATGTAGTCAACTTAGATTAAACGGATCCAGTTAAACTGTTTCATGCTTAAAATACCTTTGTGCTGCATTAAACCTTGTACCAAACATATGTTTAGTGCATATTATTTTTCTATTTTCACCATCTAAACAAAGAATAGAGTATTTTTTCACAGTGTATATATGCTTATGTATATCATTTTAATGTACAGCGTTTTAATGTACAGCATTTTACTTCAAAACTTCAGTGTTTTCGAAATACTGAAAAGATATAACACCACATTTCTAGGCAGTATCAATATGAAGCTAATGAATTTAATTCGAACATCCTCAGAAAGAACAGGTGCATTTTGTATTCCTCGTATTTTCTGGGGCCAATCAAATCTTGCAGCACCACCTACAATATACAAACCAACATAGAAATATGATATATGTCATGAGATAGACTCGCTATAACCTCTACAAATTTGTGAAAATAACAATAATGGGGGGGGGGGCTACATATAACCCAATGAAAACAATAATAGCAGTGTTACAATTACTGTAATAACAAGCCATTCGGATCGATGTCTCGCCTGTGCCCCACTTTAACCGTTTTGCACATGTCAAGTTTGATTGGTCTAGCATTTATAGACAAGAGGCCCAATGGGCCTGCATCGCTCACCTGTTATTAATCTAACCCTTGTAATCTTAAGATTTCATAAGAACCTATTAAAAGATTTAGACATATGACACCTCTGACCTTGATTATTGAACAAGGACATTAGGTTGAAAGTGGATCAAGGTCATTCATTTGAACTAACATTGTAGTCCATCCCAGCATGCTACAGGCCCAATATCAGTACTCTGGGTCTTTTGGTAATTGAGAAGAAGTTGTTTGAAGAGTTTAACATATTTGACCCCTGTGACCTTGGAAGTGGATCAAGATCATTTATTCGAACAAACTTGGTAGCCCTTGATCCCAGCATGCTACTTGTCATGAGATAGACTCGCTATAACCTCTACAAATTTGTGAAAATAACATGAGGGGGGGGGGGGGCTACATATAACCCAATGAAAACAATAATAGCAGTGTTACAATTTCTGTAATAACAAGCCATTCGGATCGATGTATCGCCTGTGCCCCACTTTAACCGGTTTGCACATGTCAAGTTTGATTGGTCTAGCATTTATAGACAAGAGGCCCAATGGGCCTCCATCGCTCACCTGTTATTAATCTAACACTTGTAATCTTAAGATTTCATAAGAACATATTAAAAGATTTAAACATATGACGCCTCTGACCTTGATTATTGAACAAGGACATTAGGTTGAAAGTGGATCAAGGTCATTCATTTGAACTAACATTGTAGTCCATCCCAGCATGCTACAGGCCCAATATCAGTACTCTGGGTCTTTTGGTAATTGAGAAGAAGTTGTTTGAAGAGTTTAACATATTTGACCCCTGTGACCTTGGAAGTGGATCAAGATCATTTATTCGAACAAACTTGGTAGCCCTTGATGCCAGCATGCTACTGGCCAAATATCATCTTACTAGGTCTTTTGGTTATTGAGAAGAAGTTGTTTGAAGATACAAACCAACATAGAAATATGTTATATGTCATAAGATAGACTCGCTATAACCTCTACAAATTTGTGAAAATAACATGAGGGGGGGGGGGGGCTACATATAACCCAATGAAAACAATAATAGCAGTGTTACAATTACTGTAGTAACAAGCCATTCGGATCGATGTCTCGCCTGGGCCCCACTTTAACCGTTTTGCACATGTCAAGTTTGATTGGTCTAGCATTTATAGCCACGAGGCCAAATGGGCCTGCATCGCTCACCTGTTATTAATCTAACACTTGTAATCTTAAGATTTCATAAGAACCTAATAAAAGATTTAAACCTATGACCCCTCTGACCTTGATTATTTAACAAGGACATTAGGTTGAAAGTGGATCAAGGTCATTCATTTGAACTAACATTGTAGTCCATCCCAGCATGCTACAGGCCCAATTTCAGTACCCTGGCCCTTTTGCTTATTGAAAAGAAGTCGCTTGAAGATTTTACGACATTTGACCCTGTGACCTTGAAAGTTGGTCAAGGTCATTTATTTGAACAAAATTGGTAGCCCTTCATCCCGGCATGCTACAGGCCCAATATCAGTACCCTGGGACTTTTGGTTATTGAGAAGAAGTTGTTTAAAGCAAAAAGTTGACGCCGGACGGACGCCGGACGGACGGACGACGGACCCCGCACCATAACATAAGCTCACTTGCCCTTCGGGCAGGTGAGCTAAAAATTGCTTAAATGCAAAAACTTCATGTTGATGGAAATGCTGACAAAAGTCAATGGACCATGAAAGGTAGGCCACATCCAGCATTTGATGCATGGGTTGAGATGTAGTACCTAAAATGCATCTTTGGTCCGAGTTTGGTTGGTCTTGCACTTATTCTTTCAGTGAAGCTAACTTAATCACAAAACTTAATGTTGACGCCTGAAAAACAACACCTTAGTCTCGCTTCCACTACTTCTTGGCAGCACGAGACAAAAATGATAATTAGCAAATTGGGGGAAACATTTACCTCCATGATAACGATCATTAGCAGCAGATTTGAGGGGGGAGGAGCTTAGCTACATTAATAATCAATCAATCCCATGAAAACATCAATGAGCAGCAGATAGGGGTGGTATTTCATGACAAAATTGAAGGCTCTGTCAAATAAGTGTGTGCCACCTTGTGGTTAATACAAGTAGACTAGTTTGACCCTTTGATGTACATCAAAAGAATCCTGCCTTAGCATAACAGTATAATTGACCAGCTTTGTAGTTTGATGTCGCTCCTCTGCATTCTTTAAAGGTACAGGTATCAGCCTAGTAATTGGTCAGGTTATTTACCTGAGAACAATCTAGTAGCTAGCCGCATGCCTTCCATTCTGCTATGACATATTCCAGTGGTGAAGAGAGCGTAAGTGAGCGTAAGTGAGCGTAGCCCCTGGGATATTGAGGATGCTGATACACTTACCAGCAAAAACCTCTCACGAACAAAAGTATGAGCAACAACAGGAGAATAGAGCAAAATAATTATATGTAGGCTAATGGTAACGGAGTTAAACCTTTACCTGTAGAATGTTATCATCCTGAATACTTGTCATGAGATCAATACATTTCTCCAGCATTTCCTTCCCAAGGTCATTTGTGATTTCCCTAGAAAAAGAGATATTGTTTTAATAGAATATTGCAAATATATACAAATGCATTTTTCAGAAAAACTTTAATCCATCAGTATACGTTTCTTTCGTTACTATCATTACAGTTGCCTACATGTGAAGCTACACAAAGCTTACAATGACAACACTGCAGAGTAATGTGGTGGAATACTGTGATATCATTCATATTGTGACATTATGTAACGTTACTGATTACCAGCGGAATTGATCAACCTTTTTTTCCATTTGTAAGTTAAGAATGATAAGTCTTTAGCTAGTAACAGTCTGTAGATAGTATCGTACAGAAAGAACCATCAGTCTATAGCTGATAAAGTGTGTTAGGAACCATCAGTCTTTAGCTGATATAGTGTGTTGGGAACCATCAGTCTATAGCTGATATAGTGTGTTAGGAACCATCAGTCTTTAGCTGATATAGTGTGTTAGAAACCATTAGTGTTTAGCTGATATAGTGTGTTAGGAACCATCAGTCTATAGCTGATATAGTGTGTTAGGAACCATCAGTCTATAGCTGATATAGTGTGTTAGGAACCATCAGTCTATAGCTGATATAGTGTGTTAGGAACCATCAGTCTATAGCTGATATAGTGTGTTAGGAACCATCAGTCTATAGCTGATATAGTGTGTTAGGAACCATCAGTCTATAGCTGATATAGTGTGTTAGGAACCATCAGTCTATAGCTGATATAGTGTGTTAGGAACCATCAGTCTATAGCTGATATAGTGTGTTAGGAACCATCAGTCTATAGCTGATATAGTGTGTTAGGAACCATCAGTCTATAGCTGATATAGTGTGTTAGGAACCATCAGTCTATAGCTGATATAGTGTGTTAGGAACCATCAGTCTTTAGCTGATATAGTGTGTTAGAAACCATCAGTCTATAGCTGATATAGTGTGTTAGGAACCATCAGTCTATAACTGATATAGTGTGTTAGAAACCATCAGTCTATAGCTGATATAGTGTGTTATGAACCATCAGTCTTTAGCTGATATAGTGTGTTAGGAACCATCAGTCTATAGCTGACATAGTGTGTTAGGAACCGTCTGTCTATAGCTGATATAGTGTGTTAGGAACCGTCTGTCTATACTTGATATAGTGTGTACGGAACCGTCTGTCTTTAGCTGATATAGTGTGTTAGGAACAATCAGTCTATAGCTGATATAGTGTTTTAGGAACCATCAGTCTATAGCTGATATAGTGTGTTAGGAACCATCAGTCTATAGCTGATATAGTGTGTTAGGAAGCATCAGTCTATAGCTGATAGAGTGTGTTGGGAACCATCTGTCTTTAGCTGATATAGTGTGTTGAAATTGCAAGTTAAGGTCCATCAGTCTAAAGCTGAAATTACAGGTTAAGATCCATCAGTCTACAGCTGAAATTACAGGTTAAGATCCTTGAGTCTACAGCTGATATAAGTTAAGAACCAACAGTCTTTACAAAGAATTTGAACAATAAGTGTAAGACATCACCTGGCAAACATATAATTTATTCATTTATCAAACCAATCCAATTTCAACCATCCCCCAGATCTACAACTGGATAGTGACTGTGTATGTAATTTAAACCAGAAGACTGGCTTTCCTATGTCAAAATCTAAGAACATTTTGGAGTCAGAATCACACAGGGTACCCCACTACCTACCTTCGTAGAAGTGCTGCTTGGTCATCACAGATGCCCTTGTTTTCAGGCACACTCATTATGGCTAGAGAACAGAAAATTACATCATGAAAAATGACAAACAAAACTAAATATCCTGAATTACCTTCAGAAACTTTACAAACTAGCTAATGATTCCAAATTGAAGAAAAATTGTTTATGTTGGTGACAATATATACGATGTATAGATATGAAATTGACAAACAGAACTTCCTCCAAGAGTGAAGAATGAAATGACATTTACCCAGAATGCCTCTGATAGAATCTGTTGTCTTTCTTCTGTCAAATGGAATGTAACCTGTACCACGAGCTGAACGTGCATGTTTTGGTCTAAAACAGATAAAAATATACAAGGTACATAAATTTGTTCCTGGTTATTTCAAAACAAGTAATTGATATGAACATTTCAATAATTCAAATGTATAAAAACATTAACTGTTTAATTGTCTACATTTTATAATCATTTATTTATTACACAACAAAAAGTTGATAACAGGGGGGGGGGGGGACACAACATAAATTAGAAATACACATGTACATGTATATGGTCTATTGATACAGATTGTATAAGAAAAACAAAAGGACAAAATGATCAATAATGTACTATAATTAGATTACCTCATTCTCACTGGCTCCTCCTCCTCCTCTTCCTCCATCTTCTCTTTGGGAACCATATTAGCCGCTGGGACGTCATCTCCCTCTTTGACATTCCTGTAGGTGGCTTTCTGAGCATGTGTGTACAAGGTCACAAGGTCAACAGGGGCTGTATATTTCTATCCAAGGTCGAATCAAATATACAAAATTCTCTGTTCAAGGTCATAGGATCAACAGCCATTTGCATGCTTATTTCTAATGGAATGGAATCTCTTTCATACAGAAACTTTTGGTTTGTCCAAGTATTATTAAAGTAGGAACCAAAGTCTCCATATGGGTCAGAGATTTTATTTTTCACTGTACTGTGTTTATTGTAATAGGCATCCCCTTTCATAGAAAGTGCCCCCTCCCCCCAGAATGGCCCTATTTTTCATGTGAAATGAAAAATGAAGAAAAACAAACTGGGGGTTGGGGGTGGGGGTAATAAAGAGGTAACATTCACCCCCACTTAATCAAGTATAGAACTCAATGTTACTACACCATGGTGAAGATATAAAGTAAATCTGCTGATGGGTCCTTGAGATATATTGTATGCATTGCAAGCTTTTAACTTCACAAGAGATCAAGTGTGAATTTTGACCTTTAAACTCTAAAACTGGTAATTGACAGATGCAAATTAATTACCACCAAAATGTAATCAAGTGTAGAATTTGATGTAAATTTACATCACAGTGTAAATATGAACTTAATCTGTTGAGGTATTAGTGAGGCATTTTGTACACAAGTAGTTTACTATGGATGCAACGATTCATGGGCAGAGGGATGCAATGATAAGATAATTCATGAGCAGAGTGATGCAATGATATTGATAAGATGATTCATGGGCAGAGGGATGCAATGATATTTATAAGATGATTCATGGGCAGAGGGACACAATGATAAGATGATTCATGGACAGAGGGATGCAATGATAAGATCATTCATGGGCAGAGGGATACAATGATAAGATGATTCATGGACAGAGGGATGCAATGATAAGATGATTCTTGGGCAAAAGGATGCAATGATAAGATGATTCACGGGCAGAGGGACACAATGATAAGATGATTCCTGGGCAGAGGGATGCAATGATAAGATGATTCATGGGCAGAGGGATGCAATGATATTTATAAGATGATTCATGGACAGAGGGATGCAATGATATTTATAAGATGATTCATGGGCAGAGGGATGCAATGATAAGATGATTCTTGGGCAAAAGGATGCAATGATAAGATGATTCACGGGCAGAGGGACACAATGATAAGATGATTCCTGGGCAGAGGGATGCAATGATAAGATGATTCATGGGCAGAGGGATGCAATGATATTTATAAGATGATTCATGGGCAGAGGGACACAATGATAAGATGATTCATGGACAGAGGGATGCAATGATAAGATGATTCATGGGCAGAGGGACACAATGATAAGATGATTCCTGGGCAGAGGGATGCAATGATAAGATGATTCCTGGGCAGAGGGATACAATGATAAGATGAATTCCAATTAACCCTACCCACCCTTAACTACGTCAGGGTGGTAGAGAAAATGTAGACTGTCCCTTTCCTCCCATCATTTTTTAATATCTCTCCGTAAGAACAAGTAGTCACATTTCATTTGATATGACATCTTCATTTGTAAGGTGAAATAATCTATAAATCAGAAAATGTGTCTCTGATACTGGAAAGGATTTTTGTCATTTGAATTTTAGTAGAAAAGTGAAAATGTTCTCAAACAAGTTTATGCTTTAACTCACTTATAGAGTGTGCCCCTCCCCCCAGACCAAGTATGTTTTAAGGCTACTATTTTGTGCCTCCGGGCCTCATACCTCATAGGTCTTTATAAAGTTCCCTCAGACCATGAACATTTCTCTATGAATTTCTCCATGGCAAGTCCTCTAGACATGATTCCAGACCATGTTCACCTTTTTTACTATACACGCGGGGGTGTCTACCTGTTGGATGAATTGATAGGTGAAATACTAAGGTTTTGAGTGGTCGGGGATAAACCAGAGTTCGAGGAATATGGGTATTTGAGCAATGACTGTTTGAGTAATCAGAGGTTAATTTACAAAGAGTATATAAGAATACTGTCGGGACCAAGCAAGCTATTCGAGGAAAAGGGGGTATTTGAGTTATGCGAGTTCGAGTAAGTGGGGTTTCACTGTATGTTTAAACACAGTGGCAGCCTAATACAGCAAACACAGTAACTTTGTTTTTAACTTGCCTGATTGTTGCTACAATTACTGTAAAACATGGATCTTTTGGTATTCATGTTTAAAACACCTTGTTCATGGGGATTTCAATTCATGAAAGAAACAATATACCATGCATATCAAAGATAGAAAACCTCATCAGAATTATACAAAATCTAAATATAATAAACTAATTTCAATAGAATCCCCACTTGGATATAAAATGGTGATTACAGTACTAGTATTAAAACGGTTATTGACCAAATGATTTATTATGTTTGAGTGTTCAGTATACTATCTCATTTTTTATCTTGATTGCTTACACATCAATCTTGTGAGATAGAAGGAAGTGGCCAGGATTTATAATCTACCATAATTTTATGGGCATTGCTGGCACAATTGAAACTGTATACCATTTTGGAATCAATGTCAAATAACCACTGATTTAAAAAAAAAAAATCTTTTTGCAAACATTTCATTACAATACCTACTTTAATTTATAAGCCAGCAGAGGGCATTTTTCAATGGTAAATAACTATAGTCTGAAGGTAATATGCAAGAAATTAGAGTACAGAGAATAAGTCAGTTACATATTAAGTATCCAGTGTGTATATATGAATATAAAACGTTAATTGACCATAAACAATGCAAGTACCCATGCCAGTGTGTAGCTGACCATATACAATTATCCAGTATTTCGTTGACCATATACAAGTACCCAGTGTGTAACTGACCATATACAAGTAACCAGTGTGTAGCTGACCATATACAAGTACCCAGTGTTTAGCTCACCATATACAAGTACCCAGTGTGTAGCTTACCATTTACAAGTACCCAATGTGTAGCTGACCATATACAAGTACCCAGTGTGTAGCTCACCATATACAAGTACCCAGTGTTTAGCTGCCCATATACAATAATCCAGTGTGTAGCTGACCATATACAAGTACCCAGTGTGTAACTGACCATATACAAGTAACCAGTGTGTAGCTGACCATATACAAGTACCCAGTGTTTAGCTCACCATATACAAGTACCTAGTGTTTAGCTCACCATATACAATTATCCAGTGTGTAGCTCATCATATCCAAGTACCCAGTGTGTAGCTCACCATATACAAGTACCCAGTGTGTAGCTCACAATATACAAGTACCTAGTGTGTAGCTCACTATATACAAGTACCCAGTGTGTAGTTGACCATATACAAGTACCCAGTGTGTAGCTCACCATATACAAGTACCTAGTGTGTAGCTCACCATATACAAGTCCCTAGTGTGTAGCTGACCATATACAAGTACCCAGTGTGAAGCTCACCATAAACAAGTACCCAGTGTGTAGCTGACCATATACAAGTACCCAGTGTGTAGCTCACCATATACAAGTCTCTAGTGTGTAGCTGACCATATACAAGTACCCAGTGTGAAGCTCACCATAAACAAGTACCCAGTGTATAGCTGACCATATACAAGTACCCAGTGTGTAGCTGACCATATACAAGTACCCAGTGTGGAGCTCACCATATACAAGTCTCTAGTGTGTAGCTGACCATATACAAGTACCCAGTGTGTAGCTCACCATATACAAGTACCCAGTGTGTAGCTCAACATATACAATTATCCAGTGTGTAGCTGACCATATACAATTACCCAGTGTGTAGCTGACCATATACAATTACCCAGTGTTTAGCTGACCATATACAATTACCCAGTGTTTAGCTGACCATATACAATTATCCAGTGTTCGGCTGATCATGAACAAGTAGCCAGTGTGAAACTGACCATATAAAATTACCCAGTGTGTAGCTGACCATATACAATTATCCAATGTGTAGCTCACGATATACAAGTACCTAGCATTTAGCTGATCATGAACAAGTAGCCAGTGTGAAACTGACCATATACAATTACCCAGTGTTTAGCTGACCATATACAATTACCCAGTGTTTAGCTGACCATATACAATTACCCAGTGTTTCGTTGACCATATACAATTATCAAGTGTTTAGCTGACCATATACAAGTATTATGTTTAGTTGTTATTATTAAGTGTTTAGTTGAAATATACGGTGTTTTGGTTGACCATATACCATTAGCTAGTATTTAGTTGACTAAAAGCTATCGCAGACAGTATCTCAAAGGAGAGATAGTGAATATATTCACTTGAAATGATAATATGTGTTTGGATTTTTTTCAAAGTATTTACAGACTTGGCCTTGATGTCCTGTTAAATAACATAAATGCTTAGTTTTAATAAAAGCGAAACAGTACTCGACATACCTCTGAGTCAGCAAAAGTCAAACTACCAACAGGGGAGGTTGTTTCACTTTTCTTCCTTTCTGTCAATAGGCAAACAAAGACAACACAATTAAAATGAGTGAAAAGGGGAAGAAAAATGTAAATAAAATTTGTAACAAAATATAAAAACAAAATATACCAAAAATATTGCTCTACTTCTGTTTGAGTATCACTGTTGAAAGAACAGAAAAAAACCCAGAAAATTGTTTATAAAGGTCATAAGCATAGAAACACTTTTAAAGTATCAAGATCATAAAGACAAAATCAGTTTGTTTAAAGGTCACAAATTTAATTTAAGATCAATTAATCAAGTTTGAAATATTAATAGAGACTTTGTTTTTAATCTCTTAATCACATGCCTATATCATAAAGATTTGTTATTTATGTTTATATTTTTTTTAAACAGCTCACCTGCTTTCCTGGCAAGAAAATTAACTCTCTTTTTCTTCTTCTTACCTCCATCAGGACTGGATGAGTCTGTCTATTATAATAAACAGGAATAAGTTGAAAACCACAAATATGGAATATTCACAGAACCATAAGTTCTCAACATTTTACAATTTTAGAAATCAAAATCATGTAATTATGATAATATATTGATCTATACATTATACATACAAGTGTATGTAGTGTTATGAAAACATTGACTCATTTACCCCTGAAGACACATTTGAACTCTTCCCATTAAAATGTTCATACATTGTATGTAGATTGTTCTTCTAATTAGGAGTTGATTTCATTTTATTACATGTAACAGAAATGGTTATATCCACTTAGTACCATACAAAAAAAAGTATTACAGTACCATTAGGTATTAAATGTTTCAGAACTTTAAATCTATAATTTAAGGATATATATTTGTCGTAAAAATAGCTCCACAGAGCTAATGTTCAATGTTATGCCATATACGACACTAAATAAAGCTTCTTGTATCTTCTTTTATATATATTCATTATGTATTCATTAGCTTCAAATGATAACTGTATGGGTCCTTATTGTACCAAACAGTAACATTACAGGTTAGCGTAATGGTTTATAAGAGGTGTCGGCAATAACATCTCAATACCAATATATTGCAATATTTGTCTAGCAATATATATACTGCAACATGATTTTGAAATGGCAATTAATGTATTGCAATAATTTTTCAACTACCTTTAGAGGATTTGAATAACCTTACAGAAATAAAACTAAGATTGAATTAATTTTGTCCAAAATCTGCTTGCTTGGCAAGATATAACTTTAGAAAAAAACTGTTAAAAAATTACGAATGAATCTTGCTAAACTGATTTTCTGTTTTTGTATTTTCTATACAATATTCTTTTCAAATACAATGAATTTCTAGGAAAACAATATAATGTGATATCTTTGCAACATTCCCTAAATACTGTTATATCTGGCCAAATGAATAATGCTTGCAATACCCAACACTAACAGTAAGTGTTTTGGTTTATAGTATGATACACAGTAGCATCACTGGTACATGAAGTTAAATAACAAAAGCTTTAAATAATCATGTACCTGCACGGGTGCTGCTTCTGTTTCACCAAAACCATCAAAAGGGGTAAGGTTTTTCTTCAGTCCCTCCACCATAGTTCTGGCCGCTGCTATTGGGTTTCTGGAAATATCTACAGTACCTTCCAGACTTGCTAACACTGAGCTTTCAACGCCTTGCAGTGTATTGCCACCAGGTCCCTGTTCTTCTATTAAATCTTTTGACACCATGTTTATTTTCAGAGATGATAATGAATCAGGACTTGTGTGTAAAAGAGTTTCCAGCTCTGTCGCTACCATTGATGATAAACTTTCCGAGGCATCATAGTATTCTTCAGAATCATTACTTAAGAACGTCCTTAGTGTGTCACTTTCTGAGCGTGCTGTAACAAATGTATCGCCATAATCGTTGCTTTCGTCGACTCCTAGAGTTTCACCATAATCTCCTGTACCTGTGTACGTATTATTTACTCTCATTGTGTCATCGTAATCACCCGTACCTGTGTAAGTATTATTTACTCTCATTGTGTCATCATTAGTACTTCTAATTGTCTGGTTGACTCGCATTGTGTCATCGTTATTACTTCTATATGTCTGGTTGACTCTCATTGTGTCATCGCTATTACCTTTATATGTCCGGTTGACTCTCATTGTGTCAATTTCATCACCTGAACCGGTGTACGTCCGATTAACCCTCATGGTTTCATCGTTTTCTTCACATTCATTAACTCTCATTGTGTCGTCATAAAACCCGCTACCATTGCTTCGCATGGTTTCACCATAATCCTGAGTCCTTTCTTCACCTTTCCTGCTGAGAGTGACCTGAGTTAGTTTATTGATTACATGGCTGAGTACTTCCTGTTCGTGTTTGTCAATTTCCATTCGTATGCCTTTCCAAGACATTGACCTTCGAAGGTCGGTTTTGGCAAATTTTCCTTCAGCAACATCCCTCCTCCGCCGTAATCGAGCTGATTTGTTTGGTTTTCCTTTGGTCTCCATTTCAGACAAGACTAACACATCTTGTATTTTCCAATTTGAAGCTTCCTTAGATTAGAAAATGATAAAAAAAAACTTATCTAATGATGAATTTTGAAGGACTGTTAGCTTTAAAATTCATTAATTCATATTTTGTGAAATTAGTTTTATTTTAAAACATCTGAAATATTCAAGTGTTATCTTATTATTTATTATATTGGAATATGTATACAATTAGTTTCAAAATTGTATCAGTTTTTAGACTATTCTATTAAGATGAACATGCTATGTGGGCACTGGTACCTGCAGAAGACTGTGCTGTAACAACTTGGTGGCACTTGGGCGTTGTTTGGGCTCTGTCCTCATCATGGAGAACACCAGGTCCTTCAGTGATGCAGTGTAACCATCAGGAAACTCTGGTAACTACAAACAACACCTTTTATTTAATAAAAAAATCCACTGCTGAGATAAATACCAACCTCTTGCTATGAGTACCTTACATCAAAGAGATTTTACAAGTTTCTGTGGTATTTATATTTTTGATTTTGAAATTAACTGTTGAGTGAAATTCACCATCAGCATGCATATGTATTTTACAAATTTTAAGGAACCATTTCTGGGCAAATATTTTTTTTCAAACTTCTGCCATTTTATTAAAATGGCAGTCAGTAATGACATTTTACTACAATATCAGTAAAAAATAAAAATTATACCGATTATAAATGGAACACACATTTCTCTCTATTTTTTATAATTCAATACTTCCCATCCAAAAACCAATGACCTACTTATACATGCAGTAGATTAAAAGTACTGAAACAATTACTTTATCTAAACAATGTATCAGTATTCCCTCTCACCTTTCTATACAATGTATCAATATTCATTAAAGATCTCACCTTTCTATACAATGTATCTATACTATTGTATTTGCTAAAGATTCTTTCTATACCATGCATCCATTCAAATGTATTTGCTAAAGATATCACCTTTCTGTACAATGCATATGTAATACAATGTACCAATGTTCATCATGATCTCACCTTTCTATACAATGTATAAATTCAAATGTATTTGTTAAATATCCATTCTATACAATGCACATGTAATACAATGTACCCATATTCATCCTGATTTCACTTTTTCATACAACTGATTTGATAAAGATCCTTTCTATACAATGTATCAATACAATTGTATCTGCTAAAGAACTCACCTTCCTATACAATGTAATACAATGTATCAATATTCATCATAATCTCACCTTTCCATTCTGGATATTTTGTACATTTTGAAACAAAACAGGACTATTGAAGGCTCTTCGTAATGCCACCATTTCAAAGGCACAGCATCCGAAACTCCAAACATCAGCCTAAAACAAGAATCATTAACTTTGAGATAAATTTGACTTATTCTCTCTATTTGCTTGTTTTTCCAATATCACTTTATTGTATCTTAGATTTTAAAGAAATGCCAATAATTTGAAGACCATTCTATTACAAAGTTCTTGATATTGATCAGTTTAATGAACAATTTAAATGAATGGAGTATTCCAATATAAATCTAATATAGTTAATCCAATACCTTATGGTTGTATGGCTTATGCTGAAACTGTTCCGGACTCATGTAGGTCAGAGTTCCCACAAATGTCATAGCCTTTGCTTTCTCACCATCTAAAACCCTGAAAGTCAGCAAAAACGTCATGGTTACCGTCACAGGGAGCTATACACATCTCAAATCTAAACTCAAAAACCTTAACCACAATATCAATCAGAATACAAACACCTGAAGTGTGTATTTTAAATGGATTTCATTAATTGCAATGTCAGAAGATGTATTCTTATAGTTTCATGCATGATGTGTGAATGTGCAAAGAAACTGCTTGTTACATCCTTATCTGAGTGATTCTATTAAATTCAAAAGCTTTTAATTTAACTAATGCTGTTTAAATCCTTGTCAGATATATTTTATTAATGTTTCAAAAGCTTTTTGAACTCACTTTGCAATGCCCAGATCTCCAACTTTGATATTCAAACTGTCTGTCAAGAACAGATTTTTGGTCTTTAAATCCCTGTGCAAAATATTTTGCTCATGGATGTACTGCAATGAAAAGCATACAACACTAACACAGACCATCACTTTAGTGCACTATATACATGTTTTATGAAACAATGTACCATACTAACACGAACCATTATAAAACTCACATTTAGAAAAAGACAAAATCACTTATCAGAAAGTATGCAAAAAATATATACATTAAGTCATATAGATTAGTGATGATTACCGTATTCAAAAGAAATATTCACCAAGGAGGTTCATCCCATGAAAACTGTAACTGTTTATCAAATAGTCTTTGTCTAGATGTTGTATCTCCCAATTTACTAAAGTTTTCTCTAAAATCAATACACTTAATTATCCATCTGTAGATTCTTTCTGCATTTCCTCATCTCTTTGTGATTGTTTTAAAAATTGTCACAATATATAAAAAAAAAAAATCAAGACCTTAATTTTTAGAGTAAACTCTTGGTAATGTATGTTTTTTATGTTACTGATGGTTCATCATTTCCATAATGAGTTACCGGTAAAAAAGAATCATAGTAGAATTCGTTAAAAGTAAAAAAAATAACCACATAGACTTGACAAGGAAATATTACCGTAATTCAATCCTGAATGTAGCGTCCTGTGATGTTATCATCACTACAGTACACGGTCAAATAAAACGTGTAGATATAAGGAAGAAATTTTACATTGACAGTTAAAGCAACATATATATATGCATCATAGATTCACATTTGAATTCAAAATATTTCCTCTTGTGAATTGTTTTTATACATGTACTATAGCTAGCTAGATCAGAGAACAATAATTTTCTTCACACGAGGTGATCACACAGACCTGCAGCCCTAAAACGACCTGGTAAATCCACAGAGCGATGTGTTGCTCTGCAAGTTGTCTCCCCTTCCTTTCTCGTAAGTAATCCTCCAGGTCTCCCCCCTCACAGAACTCTGTAACAATGTTGAGAGTATCCTCATCTTCAAATGACTCTATGTACTTCAGCACATTGCCATGGTTAAGTTTGGACAAAATTTCTGCTTCCTTTCTTGCTTGTATACATTCTTCTTCATTACCGTTAAAGTCAATCCTTTTAAGTGCGTACTGCAAAAGAATTGAATGTTTATATATTGTTCATATTAGAGTTAACATAGATTCTCAGCACTTCATATTATAATGTATCACAATGATGAAAAACTCCCATTTGTTCTAGTGAATTTTTGCTCAGTTTTATGGCAGAATACAGACTGTTTCCTCAAAAATAATGCTATATTTTCCCCAATTCATAAAGGAAGAGGCTGTTGTAAAATTTAGTTTAACAAAAACACTGTGTTCGTCATTTTCCTAGTCAAGAATAATTATATACCAAACTGAAACAGTGCTCTCACTAAGTTTAGAAACAGGTGGTTGTCTTTAAAAAGTAGCATGAACATGTATATAAGTTGAATGTGCATATGCAATAATGTTGACACATACATGTATAGGTTCATTACAATAATGGAATTATGACAAACAAATATTTCGAACATGATTAACAAAAAGAAAACAGCAGGCTACTTTTGCTGGCAACTGGATTTTCATAAGAACATATGATCAAAGAAATATATAACCATTTTTCTTTTATTCACAAGATCATTTCTGCTAGTACAGGGATTCAATTAAACCCTGGAATGTGTCATTAAGAACAGATAGCTATATAGTAGTAAACCAACTCTTGTACATGTGCTACCATAGTATTAATGTTTTCAATGTTTATTTCACAATTTCTTACTCTTTATATATACAGAATGATGTAGACACCGGTTACCTGTTCCCTAAAGTAGTTTTTGTAAGAATAAATAACTTCATTATCAAGGTCAGGTTGTGGGACATTCAACCTTAATATTTATTCTTTCATTAGAAATCAAGAAAACATTTGTAGTCATGAATGGTATTATATATGAGTCATTATCACTGTGGACGACGATTAAAAAACACACAACTTTGATTAAACTAGTCCTGCTAAAATGAAAAAAAAATATCTACATTTAGTGTCGTGTCATGAAATACGAGACCATTAAATTTAAACAAATCGAAAGTTGAAGTTATATCGAAGTAAGCATATCATCGTCAAATCACTTTCAATACCTGTTGTGTTCAACGTGATACAAAATATCAGGGTTCAGAAACGCTTGCGTGAAGTTGTAAAAGTAATTACCCGTTCACCGTTTAGTTCATTCCTTATGAGAAATACAGATCCATATGCTCCTTTCCCGAGCGATCTTTCATACTGTATAACACCTTCGTCCTCCATTTTCCTCCATATTAACCCGGAAGGTGATATTTAAGAAAACCCGCCTGAGGCCCTTTTGTTGTTTTGTTATGACATGTCACATTTCATTTCCAATCTGTAAACATCCCGTCTGGGAACGACGTCACGGAACTGCTTGGGAAATGGCATTTTGAGCAAGCCTCTCACTTACACAGATGTCGATGTTTTGATGACAATCATGTGATAATTAACCGACACTATTGTTAGCAATACAATGGTTAAAATGAGCTCGATGTATTGTCTATACCGCCACAAGAAGGAAGAAAAAGGATGAGAAGATGTTAAGACATCGTCGTGTTCACTCATCTACCTATATTTCGCCGTAGATGAGCTAAATCGTGTATGGTTTGGCATCACGTTAACTTAAAGCTCACACTCACTGGCACAGATTTTAGTGGCTGGTCGACTGATCCGGGAGCTTGGGTATATAGTCGCTCCGTTAAAGGACCTCGGAAATCACAATGGCGTACACATTTTACCATGCAGTCACTTTTGTTCTCACATTTATGAGGTATGACAAGTTAAAACAACAGCAAACTACACCATATTCGCATGTTTATTTCAAACAAGTGTAATGAATTCATTCTTTCGACTTTATTCGCCTGATGGAGTTAATATGTAGTGGTGATATTTTAATCTGCAAACGTGATATATGTTTCTATATAAATATGTGGAAATGATATTGAATGTTAACGTTGATTGTAGCAATTTTAATGAACTTTTGCACAAATAATAAAATAGATGACTTTTAAAATATGACAAATCAAATATTGTCATAAACGCCTGATACTGCATACTTGGTTTATGGAATGTCATTTTCATCTATAAGTGGTTAAATCCTGAAAAGCGCATATTTATTTTTAAAAAACAATTGTAACACATGTACAAAACTAATTATATGACTGTGAAATCCTAGTATAAATTATACAAGTTAATATAAGTGTCATGTAGAACTACATAGACTTTTCATTTCATTTAATCAACATTTTTTTTCAGTTATGCATTTTTCCATGCAACCAGAAAGACTTTCAGCAATGTGAAGACAACAGTATCGGAGGAATGGACTCCGTCATTTTACAACGAGACACAGTGTAACAATGAAACATGTCAACCATATGATGTAAGATCTATGTAATGTAGAATGTTTTATCGCTGTGAATAAATGTATGCTTCAAGCTTACATAAAAATCAAAATTAACTTTCCTCTAATCAATTTGGTACAACTCATTCTTGAATAAGTTTAAGCTTTGCTATTTCAATTTCTATGAAATAGTTTGTGCCAGTACATTACAGTTACTTTTGCAAAGTAGAAATCTTGAGGTTTTTTTGGAATGTTTTATTTTTGAAAAACCAATCGATAGAGAAGCGAAATGTGTATTATTTGTTCAATCCAGTCATGAACATGTGTTCAATATAAAATCAATTTGATCAAACTCATGCTATGTATTTTCAATACCTGCATACAGTTATTGTTAGTATCGTCAGTACTTTATATATTTTCATGTGATATTGTCTCTTTCAGTTATGGAACTCTCATCATCTATTTCAAAAGCGAGGAGAAGATACAGAATTTCTGGGAGTTTTAGATGCAGCTTTCATGATCTCCTATGCTGTTGTATGTCATTTATACCATTATTTTGTAAATAATAATTTTTCCAGAAAATATGTTCACACCAAATGAGTAGTCTTAAATTTAATATTTCAAATGACAAACATATAAAATAATATAAAATTTGTTTTCAAATGTTCATGTTTAAAGGTATGCACAAATTGTCTATTTGTGATTGTAAATTAGTCCTTGTTTTTATATGAATTTTAACTAATTTCCCTTCATTTCCAAGTGTTTTTTTTATATTCAAACAAGAAAAACAAACTTTTGTGAATTTGGAACACACTGCAATCCAACTTCAGTTATAATAGTAATTAGCGTACAGTAGCTATACACATACACTAGATGCAAAGAGGAAAATGGCTGACTCTCTTGTATCATCTTGATCTCATTCTGTTTTAGGGGCTGTATATCAGTGGAATGCTTGGAGACAGGTAGGTATCTTGAAAGCTATATAATCAGTATATCATAATAGTTTTGATGGAAAATATTTTGCAATTCTAGCCAAATCAAGCATTAATTGTAAACCGCTACATACAGAATATCACATATGAAAGTAAATAATAATTGAGCTTTAATACAAACAAACAAGTTTGATTTTAAACTTCATCAGTATTGTTCATAGTTTGAATCAATTACTGCAACTTTATTTTACTTAATAGGGTTAAATGAAAAAAAACACTGCACTATTATAATGTTCCAAATCGATAGGCGACAATGGAAGGGAGCTAATTTGAGTTTTGAAATTCTGGTTTCGCATCTACATGTATTCATACTGAACACTGATATTGTTGTATTTTATGCGATTCATATACAAAAGTCAATGTAGTTTTTATCTTGTGAGCTAATGTTGAATAGTACATGTACTTTTAAACTGTATAACTGATATGTAGTTGTACACTATACTTAATGCTGCTGTAAATTGCCTTCAAACAGTTTCATTTACACTGTATTAGTAATGCACTATATGAAAGATGGATCTTTTTGTTATATCAGTTTTTGTTTTGCAATATTGGAACTTGTTTCAATCTGTAATTAAAGTTAAGAGTTTGGTAAATGTTTTATGTCAATTTTCGGATATACTGTATATATATCTTGCATGAGTGATTTTCTGTACATATTATTATATTATTATTATTTTCAAGGTTCAATTTGAGATTGGTGCTGTCCTTTGGAATGTGTTCATCTGCAGTTTGTGTAAGTTTTATTTTCAAAATGGCATATCTCTAGCCCTTCCACCACTGTAGACCATAATGGACTCATCCATAACAATGCATGGTAGAGTCTACTAAAGTTACAAAGGGTTGAAAGGGTTAAAACTGTGCCAGTTCAAAATGGCTAAGCAGATTTAAATTTGTACATGTATTGAGAATGTTTAGGCAAAGGGTACTCAACATTGTATGAAGGAGTTTTAAATTGATTTGGTCTGGAGTAAATTTTGAGCGAGAAAACTCAACATTGCAAAGGGTTTGGAACTCTTGGGGATTAATCAAGGAACCCCACATTAAAAATAGATGTAAACATTTATAAGACTACTCCTTTCCATTGTATGGATAAAGGCATTCAAATTTATTTTAGATCATCTTTAGCAGAAGAAAACTCAGTGTTGTATAAAGAAAAGGGTTTGTCCCATTGAGTGTCAAAGGGGTGGAGCTCAATGAGGGAAATAAAGGGAAGTCTTAAAAACGTACTCTTTCTGTAAGGTAAAGGAATCTTAACCTATTATGGTCTGGAGTACCTTTTACCAAAGGGACAACATTTTTATTAACAGATGGTTGGGCTCCCTTAGGGAATGGGGGTGGGAAATAAAGGTAAAATTTAAAAACCCTTCTCCTTCAAGACAGGTTTAATTTAAGTGGATTTATTCATTATTTGTTATTGAGCATTTTTGGACCAGTTCTATAACTAGAGGGCTTGATGAACCTCGGCAGCAGAGAGACAGGTCCCAATATGGGAAATAGATATCAGTAATTTTCAACAATCTGACTCTTATATATATCTGATGTACGAAGATTAAATTAAGTGGTACATGTGTGTTAATTTGATGTTTTTCCTCTGTCAGGTCTTTATCTTTGGATGTTTGTTTGAGTGGATACATTTCTACAACAAGTACATGTATGTGTTGATATGGATCCTGAATGGCCTACTACAGTCCACAGGGTGGCCTACCGTAGTCGCTGTCATGGGCAACTGGTTTGGAAGGTCAAGGTTAGTGTCAAAAGATTATTACTGTTGTTAAAATCCATATCAATTTAAGGTTATATTAATCCTAGAGTAAATAAATTTAAAAATTTTGCTTATACTAAAATATTAGATTATATTATGGAGGCACGGTAATCTAGTGGTGGGACGCCGGGCTCATGACCGAAGGGTTGCGCTTGTTCCAGTCTACTCAGCTGTAAATGAGTACATGGTTGGGCAGTGCTAGAATTGTAGAATGCTAGCTGAGTGCCGAAATGGCAGCATCGGCTGTATGCTCACCAGGGAGTTGAGAAAGATATTGGCTGGTTGCAAAGGCCCTATAACCACGGATAATAATTTGCGAACTGCTTTGAGACGACCTACAAACTAGGTTGTGATAAAGTGGTATATAAGAATCCAAACTATTATTATTATTAAAAATAATCTATCTTGTGTTGACAGTCGAGGGTTCGTGCTTGGTCTGTGGAGTGCCTGTGCCTCTGTTGGTAACATCATCGGTGCTCTCATGGTTTCTTCCGTGTTGGACTACGGGTATGATGTAAGTCAATTTATTCATCCATGGTGTTTTAAATTAAGCTTCCTTATATCTATCATGGTTTTCTCCTTTTTTTTTCATCATGAAAAAAACCTAACACAGGATGAAAAAATAACAATATGTGATTGTATTGTATGGATATATAACAAATTAAAGATTATATACAATATGTGTTTAGATTGTACCAATACATCAGTTAGGTCTTCCTCGATATCCCGGTGTTACGCTCGCTTTCGCTCTCTGCACCCCTGGAATATGTCATAGCAAAATTGAAGGCTTGGTGTGCACCACCTTGTTGATTAGACAAGAAGACTATTTCAATCCTTTGATGTACATCAGAAGAATCTCGCGGTCATGTAGCGGTAAAAATTGACAGGCTTTGAAGTCGGGCGTCTCTCCTTTGTAATCTTCAAAGGACAGGTATCAGCCTAGCGACTGGTGATTTTTTATTACCTGAGACCAATCGAACAGCTATCTTCGTGCCTTCAATTTGCTATGACATATTCCAAGGGTGTAGAGACAGAAAGTGAGCGTAACTCCTGGAAATTGAGAATGCAGTTAAGTAAACAAGCTGTATAATAAATAAAAAATAAATTATGTGTTTCCTAGATGTTTAAGGTGTCAGTCTGTAAATGATGAGCTATTTAACATTGAAATGTGAGGGAAACCAATTTGTTTTGGATGATTATGAATAAAATTGCCCAAATATTTTATCTTATGTCTTAATTTATTGACATGTATATTTTATTTTATATTATCTATATTTTATCTTATATATAATCTACAATATGACATTGTTTTGGTTTTCTCTTCTTCTTTCAGTATGCGTTCCTTGTTCCGTCCTCATTCTTATTTGCTGGGGGAATCCTCAACTTCTTTGCCTTAGTGCCCTCCCCAAAAGATGTTGGTGAGTTATCGCACCGTATAATTTAAGTTTATGATTATTTTTCTCCTTCAAAGTTGCTCAATGTCAAACAAATTATGGATTTCAGTTGCTGTAGTTTCATTTCAAATTTTTTATATGAATCAGGTCATTTGTTGTTGAGAAACAGGTATTCCGTCTTTTCGTATTGCAGAGTTATCTGCTCTTGTGAGCAGGTATTCTGCTCACAAGAAAAGAAAACTCTGCAATATGCAAAAACGGAATTCTTTGGAGCAAAAGTCAAAAGGAATCTTTACAAAACGTCTTTTGGAATGCAATATTTTTATTAAAATGTTTTTTTAAAAAAAATGAGTTTTTTCTGTAATTACCTTTTACCTATTGCACAGGCTTACCAGTGGCTGATGAAGACAAAGAAAAACATACTGAGGATGATTATGATAGCACCGTCAGTGTCAATAACGGCCAGATGGAATCAGGTAAGTTGTAGAAAGATGTAGAGAAAGTGACAACGCCTAGGTAGAAAGATGTACAACACTGTCAGAGAAAATGACAACGCCTAGGGAGAAAGATGTACAACACTGTCAGATAAAGTGACAACGCCTAGGTAGAAAGATGTACAACACTGTCAGAGAAAATGACAACGCCTAGGTGCAGAGAAGTGGGGCCATATAGTATGAGTGAAATGTTTTTAACCTTATTTGGTTGGAGGATCCCTGGGTCTATTGGCTTTCACAGAGGGCCGGGGCCCAGTATGAGGACTTGTTGTAAATATTTAATATTATTAAATTGACTATTAATTATTCTTCAACTTTATTAACTGACTAATTCTTCAGTTCAAGTGAATGATTTTAACCCGATTTACTGTCATAGATCTCTTGACCAAGGGAACACAATAATATACATGTTTAATAATTCCTTTATATTCCTCCTTCAACATATTCCGAAGTTTCTTTTATAACACAGAAGTTTGACTCGAGTCATCATCTGGTAGCAGTGTGTGGTTTTGTACGTTTACATGTACATAGACCTTTTAGCAGTTTAACCAGTAATGTACTATAGTTTCCAGTTAAAAGTTGAAACATAGATACTCAGATGTCTGCGTTTCTCAATATTAACCTAACTTTGCATACTTTTTCCTGCATAGATAACAATAGATAGATATATAATCAAAATTGGAATGATAATGATTTTTGATACTAAATCAACTTTAATTATTAGAGCTAACAGATCAGTACCTTACCTTTTACTCACCTGTGGCTAGTCACATTGATAGATTGTTTTATCTCTCAGACATTTGTAACGGACACCTGATTTCTACTTTCACTGACAAATATATTCAGTAGCTCTTTACCACAGATAAGATGTGTATCATATAGATATGTAAAGCAAAGGTTTTAACTGCTTTCAGGCATCACGAGTTTGCATGAATTCCAAACCGAGTCTGAAGGTACTTGTTACTCCTTGTTACGACATGTCATATATTATTATGAACGGATCTCAGCTGTTTAACCCTAAACCTGCTTCCGATTTCAATTGCACTTGTTAAATTAATTTCAAAGTTTGCTTGCATGTTTTGAAGTTAATATACAGTTTGGATTCAGATCGCATAACAATAAAAACATACTTAGCTTAAGAATGAAAATTTTCTAAATTAAACTTCTTAATTAATTATAGTATGCATGATATTTGTTAAAAGCCTGGTTGTCTTGCATATTAAAAGACATATTTCCAAAATATCTTTAGAAGGTCAATATCGTTGTGTTGCTTGTTGGCACATTAAAATCCTTCAGTTAATCATCCTATTAACATTTGGGCCCTGGTGATCTGTAGAAATCATTATGCCATAATACCATGGATATGATGGAGCATCATAACTTTTAATACGTAGTTTTGAGATGAAAACTTAACTCAAGTATTATGCATGTGTTATTTCACCTGTTGTAAGCCTCTATGTTTGCATGACTCCCAAGTGGTCCTGGTACATCGACCAATGACAAGCTAAAGGATGCTTGACCTCTATGATCTATAATTGTGTTGGTGTACCAGTGCTTTAAGTGTTTCTCTTATCTGTCCCTAATGATGGAACTTCTTGGTGAGAGGGTAGTCTTGAAGTTGATGACATCACGCGTACGCTTGCATCAAGGACGGCGCTTGTTGCAGCACATCCTAATCATGTTAAGGACTTTCTATTCCCTTTGTTATGATTCCGTCTATCCACTCCCACAGCGATATCAAATCAACAAGATCCACTCCCTCAGCCATATCAAATCAACAAGATCCACTCCCTCAGCCATATCAAATCAACAAGATCCACTCCCACAGC